CCAGATATAAGAACCTAAGAGAAACCAATGTTGGATCAGGCCAGTGGCCCATCCAGTCCAGCACTCTGTCACACAGTGGCCAAAAATACCAGGCACCATCAGGAGGTCCAGCAGTGGGGCCAAGACATAGGGTTGCCAAGTCTATCTTCGCTGGGAGCGGGGGGCTCCCGGCTGGTGTCTTGTGCACGCGTGCACGCCACACACACATCTCCCAGAAGTGATGGGAGGACGTCAGGCATGCTGGGGGCGGGGCCATGGCCATACAAGGGAAAACCATAGAGTTTTCCCTTGTATGGCCGTGGCCCCGCACCCACCGTGCCCAGTGTGCCCGCGTCACTTCCGGGTGATGCGCATGTTGGGGTGGAGTTCCCCCCGGGGCCCGATCCGGCGCCACCGGGGAACGGACCTCTGGGGCGGGGGCTTCCCCGCCCCCCGGGGGAACTTGGGATCCCTACCAAGACACTAGAAGCCCTCCCACTGTTGCTCTTCCCCCAAGCACCAAGAGTACAGAGCATCCCTTGCCCCAGACCGAGAGTTCCTATCTAAACCTTGTGGCTAAGAGCCACCGATGGACCTCTGCTCCATATGCTTAGCTTATGGAGACCCTCATGGGGCTTTCAAGGCAGGAGACGATCAGAGAAGGTTTGCCATTGCCTGCCTCCTAGGGTTGCCAGGTCTGGGTTGGAAAATACCTGGAGACTTTGGGGGTGGATCCGGGAGAGGGCGGGGTTTGGGGAGGGGAGGGGCCTCAGCATGGTTGCAATGCCACAGGGCCCACCCTCCAAAGCAGCCATTTTCTCCAGGGGAGCCGATCTCTGTCAGCTGGAGATCAGTTGTAAAAGCAGGAGATCTCCAGACTCCACCTGGAGGCTGGCAACCCTACTGCCTCTGCCTAGCAACTCTGGGCTTCCTTGATGGTCTCCCATCTGGGTACTAATAACCAGGGTCTACCCGGCTTAGCTTCTGTGATCGGATGAGATCAGAGTAGCCTGGCCTATCCTGGTCAGGGCGACTTGCTTTTGGAAGTAAAGATAAAGGTTCCCTTGCTCGAAAGCCAGTCGAATCCGACTCTAGGGTGCTCATCTCCGTTTCCAAGCCGAAGAGCCAGCGCTGTCCGAAGACGTTTCTGTGGTCATGTGGCCGGCATGACTAAACGCCAAGGCGCACGGAACGCTGTTCCCTTCCCACCGAAGTGGTACCTATTTATCCACTTGCAATTTCTTGCTTTCGAACTGCTAGGTTGTCTGCAAAGTGGGGAGCCGCTCGCAGCCAAAGAAGTTGGCTCTAATTTACAAAAAAAAACTCTTGCTAGAATAAAAGGTCAATGTCGCAGGTACCACAAGGCTTCTGTTTTCACCTAAACCACTAAAAGTGACCTTCTCAAAGAAGCTAGGTGACACTTTCTGGGCTTATGGTGGTGGATCTGATGAAATGTGGGGGGTTGAATCCTTTGCTACAGCCGATCTTTACAGTGCTAAGTGGGGTTTTTTGCGGGGTGGGTGTCTCACAGTAACAAGCTAAGGGTGCTTCTCCTCTACAACGTCTGGCAAAGGAAGCCTGCAATAAACATCCAAGCAAAGTGGCATTAGAGCGTTGGTGCTGATTTCAAAAACCAAGGTCTTGCTGAGTGGTGGTCTTATCCCACTTAGAAGGCCTGCTGCAGGGTCTCAGTGGGACTTGGCTTCCTGATGAACAAGAGTCCCTGTGCCAGTGTGCCGGCCTGCATAAGGCTGGGCTGTCGGCATTGTTGGCATTAACCTTACTAACTGCCACACTCCCACTTTTGTGGAATCAAGTCTTGCTCAACCTGATGGGGCTTACCTCTCAATGGATATGTCTGCAAGTTGTAAGAGGCTGCTTTGCATACCAAATCATGACTTGTGTTGTCTCAGCTGCTACGTCAGCTGTGGTTCCTCTTCACCTTTCTGCAATGCCAGGGGTGAATGGTGAAGATCTTTAGCATAAGAAGAGCCCTGCCAGATCAGACCAGTGATCCATTTAGTCCAGCATCCCGTCTCATTCTGGGGCCAACAACAGGGCATAGAGACCTTCCCCAAATGTTTCCTCCCAACACTGGATTACTGCTTCGCAATGTGGAAATTCCCTTTAGTCACCGTGGCTAGTAGCCCCTGATAGACCTACACTTTAGGAATAATCTAATCTCCTTTTAAAGCCGTCTGTACCTGTGGCAATCACTACACCCTCTGGCAGTGAATTCCACATTTTAATCACTCTCTGTGTAAAGAAGTCTGGTCTATCCTGAACCTACTGCCTATCAGTTTCATTGGCTGCCCTTGAGTGTTCTAGTATTTTGAAAGAGGGAGAAAAAGTTTTCTGTCAAGATTGCTGCATGCCCAGTGACATTGTCATTAGTCTTTCTGCTACCTGTAAAAAGCCTAGACCCACCACGTTAATCTGTTCTGCTAGGAATCATTGCTGTTAGATTCAGTCATTTTTGCCCTACTTCATAATTTGCTTGGCGATTGGCTGAACAGTTATTATTACATTTGTAAACTGCCCTGAGCAAACTTCAAAGGACGGCGGAAGACAGGAGGGCCTGGCGGGAGCTGGTCCATGGGGTCGCGAAGAGTCGGACTCGACTGTGCGACTGAACAACAACAAACTGCCCTGAGTTCCAGTGAGAAAAGAGGACTGTAAAGTGTGACCTTGAGCTTCAACTTATGGATGGTGACCAGTGTTCCCTCTAAGCCGAGTTACTGTGAGCTAGCTCACAGTTTTTCAGCCTCCGGCTCACACATTTTTTGTCTTAGCTCAGGAAGGATGGCTCCAGAGCAAGCTAATTTATGCAGCAGCCAAATCGCTCGCTCACAACTTTAATGCCAGCAGCTCACAAAGTAGAATTTTTGCTCACAAGACCCCACAGCTTAGCGGGAACATTGATGGTGACCCCATGAAATTCCACCTCGTAGAGTTTTCAGAGCTACAGATGAGCAGCGGTGGCTTGCCATCGACTTCCTCTAGAACTATAAATGAAGTTAATAATAAAAATGTTGGTGAGGGACAGATGCCAAAGGCATGTGTTCACACTACGGGGGAAGTCTCTATTGCATAAATAGTACTGATGGTACCGTTACATACACAGTGTCTTTATGCACACCACACATCTGACGAAGTAGTCTGGAGGCACCTGGATTTGTGACTGGCTTTGCCCAGGGATGGGTTTGATGTTTCTATGGTTGTTGTTTTTTTCTCCCCCTTTCAATCAGGAAACTTCTATTTTAGAAGAGTACCACATTAACTGGACTCAGAAGCTGGGAGCGGGAATCAGCGGTCCAGTCAGGTAAGTTTCCCTTCGCTGGAGATGTCAGTGTCCCAAAGGGAAAGCGATAGGCAAGCCTTCTCGTTCGTCAAAGCACATTTGCCTAGTTGCTGGGAGGGAACCGTTAGATGCCAGAGGCAGATATTTATTTGCAAGCCTGCTTTAATCTCTGTCGCAAGATGATGTGGCAGAAAGGTCTCATCCCAGCAGATTCCCAAACTCCACTGCCCTGTGGATCCCTCCTAGCGGGAGCTGAAATCAGAACAGAAAAGGACGTGTCGAGGGAAGCCAGGTCTGCCCGAGGAAGGCAGTTCGGGCAGCGAGGGCTGCAGCGGTCGTCACTTGCTGTCGGTGGGAGTGGCCAGCCATTTGCTTGGGACTCTGCTTTGGCCCGACAGCACTTGGGGTTGTGGGTGGCTTCCGATTCCGATCTAATTTATTGCAGCAAGAGCCAGTAAAACAGTACAGTTCTGATATAAGAAGGATTAAAACAGTAAAAACATAGGAACAGGATAAAAACATTAACAAGAGAAAATTAATAAAATTAGTAAAATAATGTGAATAGGAGAGTCATACAGGTTTTTTTCAGCTAAAATAAGTTTACGTTTCCTAATAGCTAAGCAACAAAATGTTGCCGCAGCATGAGTCGCTGAGCTCCGAACGTCCTCTAGGAGGAATTTACAAAGGACTTCTGGCCTAAAGTCAAGATAAGACTGCAGAGGGCTAAATGTAGACAGAAGGGGTAATATGAGATGGTCATGGGCAGGGCTTTTTTTGTAGAAAAAGCCCAGCAGGAACTCATTAGCATAATAGACCACACCCAATAGCAGAAACTCATTAGAATATTGGGCCACACCCCTGACAGCTCCACTCATTAGCATATTGGGCCACACTCACATGTTACCAGAAGTGTGGTCATCCAGCCACACCAACCTTTTGCTTCTTATTCTGTTTACCTTGTTTGTTGTCAAAGCCCAGAGCTTTTTTGTAGCAGGAACTTCTTTGCATGTTAGGCCACACACCTCTAATGTAGCCAATCCTAATGAGTTTCTGCTGTTGGGTGTGGCCTATTATGCTAATGAGTTCCTGTTGGGCGTGGCCAACTCAGGAGCCAGCCGGAACTCCGTTCCTGTGCATTCTTTTCCTGCTGAAAAATAGCCCTGGTCATGGGTGGCTTCCAATGCCAGTCAGGTCCTGGGACTTGTTGCAGAATGGCAGAGAAAGGTGGAAGGACCACTGTGCTTGGTCTTTGCTTCTGGCTATAACTCCAGAGAGATGTGTGAAGCAGCAAGGCAGCCTTTGAACCAGGCCCGTATCCAGGATTCTTTAATTTAGGGGGCCTTTAAATAAGTCAGGGGGCACCCTGCACAGACAGACAACCCCCCCCCAAGGGAGCACTATAAATAAAATAAAAAATTGGAAGTCGGGGGGCATGTGGGGCTGGGGGGGAAGTTGGGGGGCCTCGGCAGTAAGTCAGGGGGCCGGGCCCCGAGACGCCCCGCTGTAGCTACAGGCCTGCTTTGAACCCTCAAAGAGTATACTTTCCATGGCTCCGGGGGGCTGCGGCAAACTCACGTGCTATGGGATTTGGAGGCAGAATGACACGTCTGGAAGCCACTCCCCTGCACTCAGCAAGGGTTAGGAGATGTCTCCCAGTGCAAGCCTTTACACAGAAACGGGTCTAGCAATAAACAAAGGACAGGCTTGATTGATTTCAGGTGTTGAGTGTTGTGTGAGTTTGTCAACTGGCAACTTCCTTTCAGTTCTACTGACCAAATGATTTTACTACTCTCTGGACAGAGTCTGCATGAAGAAATCATCTCAAGAAAGGTTTGCACTGAAAATCCTTCTGGATCGCCCAAAAGCTAGAAACGAGGTACAGCATTTTCTTCCCGGGAAGCGTTCTAGAGTTGTGTAAATCTCTTTTCCTCTTGGACCTCTCCACCCCACTCCCCTTTCCCACTGGTAAGAAAAATTTAGGAAGACGCCCCACTCAAGTTTCTTTGCTGCACTGCTGGGGGCTGTTGTGCTGTTGCGTTTTCAAACTGCTGGGGTGCTGCACGCACACACACACCCAGCCGTTTTGCTAGGCATTGGGAATGCTTCTTCTGAATGGCCAGTGCCTTTCGAGGCTTCTCATTGCGCCCTTTTGACATGCAGCGTTTCAAACTGATCCTCCGCCGCCGTGCCGCTTTCAAGTTCTGCTGACCTTGCACTGCAAGCCGAAACTGGCCGGGCTGCCCTGGCCTGTCACAGCCCAGCTTTCCAGCAACCCCCTCTGCAAGGGGGCTGGTGGGGGGAGGGGTGCGAGCAGCATAACAGGCCGGTCCACATTCTTGCCCAACAAGCTCCATTTTCCTGCCTGTGTCTTGCTTGCCAGTTTGCGGGTCTTTCTGTTCTCGCCTGCCCTGTGTCACCTGTTAGCTTCTTCCCACCCACCCCAGCCCCCGGGCTGCCTTGGATGTCTTCTCCTAGTTTTTGCTTGCTCGTCTTGATTTTCCCGGACCTGATCCTGCACCGCTCGAAGCCCGTCTGGTTCTGTCCTAGACCTAAGACTTGACTTAAACCAGGCTCAGCCTTGGAACTAACTTTGGCGGCCAGAGCTCACTCCTCGTATGTGTGGGGTGATGCTGATGGCCGTTCGGTGTTGCGTAGTGCCTTGGCCTGCCCGCTCAGTGAGCACAGCCAGTTCCCAGGTATCTAAGGATACTGGCAAAGGGGGCTTGCATAGGAATAGCATCACTTCTCTGAATTCAGACTCGATTTAATCAGCTTTCCACTTTGGCTTTCATTCTGCAAACACTGCTCAGGCCTGCCTGGGTAGCCCTTCGTATGTGAGATGAGGTGTAAGAGTACTACCAAATTCAAATTCAAATACCTTTTATTGGCATAGAATATTAAAACATTTCCCAATAATACAGTCCAAGAGAAATTATAAAATAGATAGTCGTGGGTATGTCAGGCCTAACTCAAGTTGTCACAAGTTAGATTTGACCATACAAAAGATGCCTGAATCATAAAATAAACTGGCATTCCAAACTTTTAAACTTAAGTTTTTAAACTTATAAATTAAGAATCATTAATATGATCAGGGTTACTCTTCCGTTTTATAAAACAATGGAGAAACTTAGCGGTCAGTTCAATGATCTCCAGATCTCGTGAAGCAAGGAGAAATTGTACCTTGATTCTATCTGATTGGCCTGCTACCATCCTAAGGGGGGCTTCTATACACTCCACTCGAATGTCATTTAACAATTTACAGTGTAAGAGTACGTGCTCAACAGTTTCTATTTCACTTCTGTTACAACCACAGAACCTGATTGAATAAGGAATTTGCTTATATCTCCCCTCAAGAATAGCAGAGGGGAGAACATTAAGACGGGCCAACAGATAAGCTCTACACATTTGCGGTGAAGTCAGACAGAAAAAGTAATATGGTAGAGTACCAGAAAGGGGATAAGCCCACCTTACTGAGGAGCACCTTCCGGAGGCAAGGGCTCTGAGCTCTTGCAACTCTATATCAATAAGTCTCTGTTTAAGCAAAGTAAAGACCTCAAGCTCTGACCGGATGACAAGGTCACTCAGGTTAAAACCAATAGAAGTGATTTTCTTTTCAATAGCCATAAGCCACGCAGAGGATTGAGATTCTTCCAGCATATAGGTGATAAGGCTATTGTGGTTACATCTAAAATGCAGACGTAGCCAAAATCTGAAAGTAATAATCCAGGCCTTGGTCTCTAACCGTCTCAAATTAAGCTCCAGACAAATGGCAGCATAAGATACGCACGAAGGCAACCCCAGAATCTTCCTCAGGAATTTGGATTGTAGTTGTTCAACTGCTTTATTAAAAGCAGTAATCCAGATAGGAATACCATATAGTAGCTTCGCGCTAATTTGATGTGCAAACACTTTTATAGCTGCTGGCACATACTGATTACCCTTAGTGTAATAAAACCGCAAAATTGCGAGCACACAGCAGTTCGCAGTTTTAATTGCCTCTGTTCTGTGTGTTACCCACCTGGAGTTATGATGAAAGGTGACCCCCAGATATTTAAAGCTTTTAACCTGCTCAATTATTTTACCCCTTATGCTCCAGTTCATAGGTTTCCAGAATCCCCCAAAGGCCATAACTTTAGATTTTTCAAAATTCACTGAAAGTCCATTATGGTCACAATAATCCAGGAAACACTCCAACAATTTTTTCATCCCTACTTCAGAGCGGGAGAGAATGACGGCATCATCAGCGTATAGAAGCAGGGGAATTGGTCGTCCACTTAAACATGGGCAGTGACTATAGCCCTCAGACTTTTCCAAACAAGCAGCCAGATCATTAAGGAACAAATTAAAGAGAAGCGGGGCTAAAATACATCCCTGTTTGACCCCAATATTAGTAATGATTTTTGGGGTTAGAGTACCCTTACTAGAGCCTCTAATTTGACAGGTTGTACCAGTATAAAGTTTCCTAATCAAGAATAGCAATCTTAAATCCATCCCCAGCTTCATTAGTTTCTTCCATAGCAGCTCCCTAGACACAGAGTCAAAAGCACCCTTCAAATCAAGGAAGGTAGCAATTAACTTGCTTCCTTTCCCTTTGTGGTATTTATTTACTAGGTGACTTAA